GGGGGGGGGGGGGGGGGGGCAGAGATTCGGAGAGGGGTTCCGAAGTTTGAAGATCATAATAGATTGTTAACATTTTTGCTTGCAACATGCAATGCTGATGTAGGCAGTGTGTTCTAACTATACATCATTCCGCAACACTTGTGTCGCAGGTCTTCGTTCTTCTTCATACGTATTTTGAATGCTCTTTTATCTTTTATTTGAATGATCCTTCTGCAGGTTCAGGTATGAAAGCCTTGTTATGACTCCTCCCTCTGAAGGATAAGCTTCAATGAACATGCCACAACACTCCCACGATCACCGCGATCCAGACACTTTTCCCGCCCATTTAATCTGTAGGAGGAACCGGCAGTGTGTACAAACGGTAGCGACGTAATCGGCCTGAGCTGAGATCACGTATGGTTACTATCCAATGCACATTCATATGACCTTTTCCCCAATAGCTGGCGTACTTTTTCAGTTCCGCGAAAAGACATCTTCCCTGCTCAGTGTCCTTGGCCCGAAATTGTCTATCATATCATAGCCGTTAAGTGAACTACGCCACATGACTCTACGGCTGTAAACCACCCGTACTACCTAAAGTCGTGGCCGTTAACGCGCCACGATGTTAGGAAACGTACGGGCTACGACAGGAGCGCCCAAATTCATCCGACTAGAAACGTTTCTACTCTATTTTTTTTCCGCGGCCGATAGCTGGGCCAAGAACTGGTGGTTTAACATCGCTCCAATAGACTGTGACCTGCATGGAAAAGTTTGTAACGTGCACTGCTTTGAGAGACTTTATCGTTGATGAAGAACAACGCTCATGGGTACCTAAAACTCGTGGAACGGACCTTTCCAAAGCTGGCCCGAAAGAGACAAGGAATGACAGGACTGACCCACAGTAGAGAGGTCCGCAGTCACATGAGGAGTTCTCTCCAAGACAGGTCCGCAGTCACACGAGGAGTTCTCTCCAAGACAGGAAGTTGGATGGATACACGTCGGCTGTTTTCGTCGTTGAGCTCGGATTGAATGCAGTGAACACAGTGTGTCTCATCGTTGAAGCTGGTGTCAGCTTGGCCTTGCTGATCTTTCGCTATGTTTCTTATCTTCATTCTCTTCCACCGTCTGTCGTTATTCCTTCCTCCCCTCCCTTATCTGATCCTTTGTTTCTGAGCGGTTTGGAGGAATCCAAATTCCTCATTCCACTTCGATCTTGTCCTTCCTCGTCCTTGTGGCCTTTGCCATCACTATGAATGCTAGGGTCCCGTTGCCAATGGAACTACCTTATTCCCCCGAATACAACGTACGGTATCACAGCTGTATTCGGGGTGTCTTTCAGTCTACATACGACTGTAATGACAGTACGCTGTATTTGGGGGAAGAAGGTAAGTCATCAGTAAAGAACGCCTTCAAGATTGGCTTGCAAGGGCCATCCGTCTCACCTTTCGGCTGGTCTGGCATGCAGGCGTTCGCTTGGATTTTCTACATCTCTACGTGCTCAAGGTGAGGATGTGTTTTCCTTTGCACTGACTAGTGATGATGGGGTTGCTGTGCTGAGGCGCATTCATACATACAGTCACTGTGGATATTCTGTTTGTAGCCTGTGTTGAAGCCAACCTTGGAGATCTCACATGGCATGAGCAGGAAGCATCTATCGCGCACTTCGACAATTTGCAAATGGGTTTGGCAGGGCGTGGCAGGAGGAATTGGCTGAAGGGCACCCACCAATACAAGACCAGATCAACATCGTCAACAAATGTCTTTGCCCTGGTGGTCGTTATCCTTCTTGCCCCTTCTTCACTGCTTCTTTACACATGGAATTTTGGATGTCTGGTGGGTTCGATCATCACTACATTGACCTGGCAAGTCTTACGAGGCCTGGTATGGTACTCTCTGCAAGGGAAATCTGGACTCGTCTGTACCCCTGCACCTGATCTGATGAGCCTAAACCCAGTACGGTATGGGTTTCTGCCAGTTTGGAAGTGAGAATTGTTTTTATAAAGACTAAGGTATGTTGTTCTCTCAAATTCACCTTCACTACCCAACTACCACTTCTCCTGAGCCTATACAGGGGACCCTTGGGGAGAGAAGGTGGAGGCAGCTGCGCTTTGTGTGGGGCAAGGGTTGGAGGACGGGGTGGGTGTGGTGTTTTCACTCCTGTCTTTGGCCTCCCTTGAGAGGGCGTGATGATAGAGTGGATGACACGTGGTTCAAACCTATGCAAGCAGAGCTACCTTTCAAAATCAGGGGATGCGTGTGCCCCCCCGTCCTAATCGGCGGTCGTCCGCTGGGAGGGGGTGGGGGAGGGTAAAGCAAAGATCAAGCATTTTGCCAGTAGCTGTGCGCCCCATCTACTTCCCTGGATCCAGCAGGGCCCAAGGCCAACACTCTCCCACCCACCACACACAACGCACACCGCACACACCACACACACCACACACCACACACAAACACACTTCAACACCCTGATGAGTCGGTGACAGTCCAATCAAAGACATTGGCACCAATTTGGCAGAGTCACTTTTTTCCTGCGGAGTAATAGTGAAAATGAGAACGTACAAAACAAATGTGTTGGCCAAATATCTCAGTTGGTGGCACCAACCGTGCCTCAGGTTCACGACCTCCTGAATGGCACTTGCATGGCTAAGTGACTGAGCTTGGCCAGTTGGTCATACTAGCCTGGACTTTGGGAAAGAGGAGGCCCTGCTATGAAGTGTTTTCTTCTTCTTCTTCCTTCTTTGTCACTCACTCATTCATATTTGTATTTGTATTCCATAGCAATTGATTGAGTCCTTCAGTGGTGGGGGATTGCTCTTATCAGCCTCGGCAGTATCACCAGCAGATGTTTTGAGAGAGAGAGAGAGAGAGAGAGAGAGAGAGAGAGAGAGAGAGACCTTTAGGACATCCGTTAAAATTGGAATGATATGATACAGAGAAAAGTAGCATGACCCCTGCGGAAAGGATGACATGCATAAATAGAGAAATCCAGAGGCTGCCGGCCATGTCTCACGGGGGCTTAGTTCTGGTTTCTGGACCTGTGTGGCCGTGCGTGGCGGTTGTGTGGGTGGGGAAAAAAAGGGGACCAAACGGCGGCCGCTGCCGCTGATTATTTTTTAACACTATAGCACATAGCACATTGCAACTGGACACTATAGCGTCCACAGTCCCATTCCTAAATATACATTACTTTCCAAAAATTCACCTTGAAGCTCAGCCACAAGGGTTGCAGACTACCACTCAAAGATAGTACTGTGTTCGTTGCATTATCACTTCTGAATCAAGATTGAAATTAAAATTGAATTGAGATTATGGAGATAATCAGCTTGCCCTTCGTATGTGATTAGCGTCATAGTATTCAACTGTGAACAGGCTAGAGGAAGCAGCTCATCACAGTATCTGCACATGATGTCTACATCGACAGATGACTACTACTCTCTGGGAGGAGCCATGATGAGAACAACTTGCCGTCACCAAAAACCATCGGCAAAACGTTTTTATTGTTCCAAGTGTTGAGTAACCACTTCCGTTTCTTCCCTCGTTCAATTCGGACTTTCCGCCAGTCGGCTAGGATGGCCAATCGAATTTGCTCCTTAGCTATTGCCTTAGATTTCTGCGGGGGGACTACTTCACCCCTGAAGACCTTAGCATTTCTTCTTTTCCAAATGCTGCACATCACTGCCCCATAACATACCACGGCTATATACGCCCATCCTTCTGTTAAGTTGCTGTTTCCCATGTTTACTCCTACAGAATCCAATTATCATCCCGTTGCCACTCCGTTCCCCACAACCCTCTCCCATTGAGAAATCCACCACTGCCATAGGTCATCTGATAGGGGGTAGTAAACCCATACTACGTGTGTTGTGGACTCCCGACTTCACTCACATCTTTTGCACTTTGTATCCAAGCGCACACCTTCAGATTCCAGCCAGACCGCTGAGGCCATCACTTGGTAGTGTTTGTACCCACAGCAGGCCAGGATGTCTTTGGGAAGGTATTTTCTTTAGTGGTGTCCATTTTTTTGTGAAGTTAGGCATTGGAGTACTTACACCCACCACCTGAGTAAAGCGCTGAGCTGCTAGGTCACGTGGCCTCTTTTTCACCTTGCAGCGTCGGATGCAAACACCCACCTTTGTCTTGTGTGATACAGTGCGACACCTTTTGATGTTTCGAGTTTCTTCCAGCCAAACAGGAACGGTTCAACCACAAATTCCTATGTGGACATGCTCAGGGCTGAGAAATTGTGTTTCTTCTTCTCTCCATCTCTCCACTGTCCCAGACTGTCGCCTCCTTTAGGCCCACTGTTGTGCAGATAGTTTCTTATCCGACTGGGAACAAGGGTTTGGTACCCTTTGTAGTCATTTTGGTATTCCAAACCTCTAGTCTAGTCTCATGCCCCCCCCCCCCCCCCCCCCCCAGTTAGAGAGAGAGAGAGAGAGAGAGAGAGAGAGAGAGAGAGAGAGAGAGAGAGAGAAGCGGACGTCGCGGCGCAGAGAGAGAGAGAGAGAGGAAGCGGACGTCACGGCGCAGAGAGCGAGAGAGGAAGCGGACATCG